ATATTACTGCCCTTGAGTATCAAGCTGTGTTAATAATTGCTCATGGCACAATTCTCTAAAGCATGAGAGTGGTCCAAAGGTACTTCCAATTTTGTATGAGGTTCCCATACAAAAGGTACATTGCAACCATGTTCAATCCGGACACTAAGCTCCCAGCCATTATTGTGCAGGGCGAAAATTCTGATAAATTTTTCTCACAAAGCCTAGGTAATATCCTACATTATGGTATTAATTTCATCAGTTCTTTATTGCTTTTGGATGAGCTGTGGTTGCGTGAAATCACCCACTTTTGGTGTAAAATGGGAGGGGGGGGGTCAGCGAATTTTGTCACCAAGATCATACCCGGAAGGCTGGCGGTGGTTACCGGCACTCTTCCCCGGAACAAAGAACATTACATTGGGTTGTTCCATCTGGTGTCTGCGATGCTCCAGCTCCCTTGATTATGGCAAGCTTGAGCTCTGACCACAAACTACCAAATCCTTTGGTGTGCAACCCACCATGAGCACAGTACAGTACTAGCATCCTCACCCAGCGGCCTGCCACCCGCAGAATCAGTTCAAGGCTAACTTTGCCTGATGGATCGATTGATAAAGTGTCAATTTGGAGTGATTCTGGGATCGCTCCGTGCGATGGGCCAGGCTTGGGGGCCTCCAAGTAGACTAAATGGGGGCTTGGTCTTCCATTGTGCTAGGATCTTAATGTGGGTTTTAGTCAGGGTTTCCAGTCATCCACCCCGTCCAGGACAGGGCCAGGGCAGTCAGTCCCGTCCAAGGACGAGACAGTCTGGTCCTTCGTCGTCCTCACCCCGTCTTGGACGGACGGGACAACTGGAATCAGTGGTTTTAGTTTTCACGGAGAGCCAAGGCCAGTCCCCTGTACTCTCGGGATTATGGCAAATAGGCCTTATGGGCGTATTGGCTCTAGGCCGATGTATTACAGGCTCTGGGGGGGTGGATCCATATTAAGTTTGTCAGTCAGCTGGGCGGGCAGGAATTGGGCGATCACTGGCTATCACTCGGCATCAAATGAAAGGAATAAAGTGTTACCACACGATACAAAATAACCACATCTGGTGAGGATAGTGCTTCCATGTCGCTCCACCTTGGATATTGTCCGAGCACAACCCAGACTGAAACCAGAGCCTTGGTATAGCTCATTATGAGAACATATATCCCTGTGGACGGAAATGAAAAAGTAGAAAGTAGGATCCCCGCCATAGCTAATCCTTCCACCTCTCAGTCCTAGGCCCCCTTGCTATTACTTAAACACAACCTTCCATATCTCTATATCTCCCATGGTCTAAGTTTCCCTATACCATATTAATACTTGTCAGGTAGAAGGGCTCCCGCCAGTCAGAAACATACCTTTAGGTCTTATAAGGAATCCGTGTGTTGTTCTGGAAGTAGTAGGAGCTTGTTCATCTGAGGGGGCGCCACCTTTGCTGCACGTAGCTCCCGGGGTAGTTAGTCACTGTTGCCCTGAGGAGGCGATAGTTTAGTATTGGGGAACGGACCAATTCATGAAGGGGGCACACCTCTGTCTCTCCGGGCCTTTCTTCGTACGAAGGATTTCCAGACCCGCTGCGTTCTCCAGCTCGCATATTCCCGGAATGCGATCTCTGGATATCTTGTTTTTATTTCCACTTATTCCGTACAAGTGCATATTCTGTCAGGATAAGAAGGATATCTTCCCATTTTTACTGACACCCCTGAGCACTAGCACACAAGTTGCTAGATCAGAATCTCATCAGCACCGGAAGGGAGACGAAACTCTGATTTGGTGACTTGAGTAGGATAATTGTTTATTCAATAAAATCAAGGAGCTAATTACTTGCAGGTAGCCATAACGGCACAGCCGTCAGCCTTGGCACGGAATTGGAGGTCGTTAAACCCGACGATGAAGCCGTCCATCATAACAAGGTATTTAGGTTAGACAATGAAGGAATTGTGGCTACGGTGAAAGCAATGGGTAATTCTGATGTGAAGAAAAGAATGGATTCCGTTCTGGAAATTCCAAAGTTCATCCTTTGAGCATATTTAGCACCGTGGTTAACGCCGATACGAACTGACATTTAGAATAGGATGACGCATCCACTTCTTGGTTTCATTGAATTTCTTCCTTGCAACTAGCATACGGATGGTTTTACATCGGGGTCAATAATTGAACCGGGTCCTGTAGTTTATGATAAGAGATAAGGGAAAGGTAAGAAAAAAGAAGTAAATATCATATACGGTATCATACTATCATACTGGAGTTTTCAAGAGAGCCTTCTGATAGTAGATTCACCCATCCCTAACCAGGGAGCAGCCAGAGTTGACCACTGAGAAGGAGCTGGTTTAACCAGAAAAAAAAAGTACTCCTACCCATATCCTGCCTTACCATGTTCGAGTAATCTTTATGTGGGTCAAATTCTGTCCACACGCTCGCGGGGAATATCTGCTTAATCACTTCGTACCAGCGGCGATCCACCATATTAGTCATTGTAGGGTTGTCTCTATTGGGATTCGGAGTGCGGGTCTGGGGGGTGGGCGACGGGGATGAAGGAAAATGAAATAATAATCTGTTGGGCCCCAGGGTGGGATTGACAATAAAATAGTAGAATTCAAAGTGCTATCGAGTGAGTTAGTGATCGTGAAAAGGAAGGAAGAGGTAGAAGAAATACCTGGGGTATCGTCGCTCCGCTACGGACGAGTAGTAAATCATTAACCGAAACCCTGAGCCACTTCCTGCATCCAGACATTCCCCCAGCACGTTTGACAAAGCGCCATACAGCCTCGCCTTTCTTAACCATCACTCCCTCTCCGGTGGGGGAAGCAACATTAGTGCCTAGTGGGTGTTAGCTGTATGTCAACTTCAAAAATTGGAGCATGCACAACACCTACTATCATAAAAAACAAACGGAATGCTGATCTCCTCATTCTCAATCTTCTCCTGCAAAGCCAAAAGCTCCCTCCTATCATAAAAAACAAACGGAATGCTGATCTCCTCATTCTCAATCTTCTCCTGCAAAGCCAAAAGCTCCCTCCTCAAGGTCTCACTAATACTGAAAACAGACTACCGATAACTTTATCTATGGCTTGCTTGCCCCCCCTGCCCTCCACCTCCCCCCTCTATGCTTGGCCGAGACGACCCGTCACTAGCCCTTCCGCGCAGGACTGTCTCCCTTGTCATCCTCAGGCTTTTCGAATCTCCTGTGCTTGGCCGAGACGACCCGTTGCCAGGCCTCTCGCTCAGGACTGTCTCCCTTGTCATCCTTTTCGAATCTTGCCCACTCTGCCCTGGTGGCGAACTTGAAATAAAACAGAACGCTCTCGAAGTCAATTTGCAGTTTGTTGTCCCATCCTCTTAATGATCTACTAGAACCCGGATTCAAGAGCATCGTGGCTCGTGTGTTGATCATCTTAACAATCATATCGGATTCTATTATGATTAGTAAATGTGCATGATCTGAATAGAATCGTAGACCAGGAAAATATACAAGAGGCATATAGCAATCGCACACACTACGTTGTGACCCACCAGTTTTTATGGATTTTTTACTGTACCAGCAAAAAGATCCTTAAAACAGGTAAGGTCATAAAGTAGTGTGTGTGAAGACTTTATACAAGTACTTATATATTTTTCCTGGCACACAACGATAACAAAGGTGTACATACCGAGGTAGAATTGTGCGTTCTCATATGGTACTCCATAGAGGTCGCAGAACACCGCAGTATTATCGAGATCACCACGTCTCATTAATATACTATCGGTTAAAAAATTGCCATCGTGAGCAAACTTGTTTAGTTTTCTGATTATTCGCATACTCTTCCTGGATGGTCCGTTGATCATTTTGCAATAATTAAGAAACAATCTCTTGCGTATTGCGATCGACGTTTCTTGTATTGGTTGAATAGTAGCAGCCCACTCTGCCATCTTGGATTGTTCCTTCTTCAGTGCCGCGATCTCATTTTTCGACTCAGCTGACTCCCTCTTCGACTCAGCCGACTCCCTCTTTAATTCAGCTAACTCTCTTAAGAGCATTGACCCCTTCCCATTCACATAGTACTTGCCCTTCAGCCCAGTGAGGGGCTTTTTCTCGACATTTTTAGCTGCCCTCCTTAGGACTTGAATGGCATTCATCTTTTCTTTATCAGCGTCAAGGTTGCCTTTAATATCGCAAGCAAGAACGGCTTCTATTGCATCAAGGGGAGGTTCCAAGGGAGGCCCTGGCAGTTGCGAGGTGGATGTAGCCAACAAAAGTGGTGTACGAGTTGAGTATCGATAAAAGTTAAGGCGGGGGAGCGGGGTTGATAGGGTCCATGCGGGAAAAGTATTGGGGAACCGGAGGTCTGATGCGGTTAGTTCAAACCTTGTTCCGGCAAGGGTGTCATTAAGTACCGGGGAGTGTGCTGAATGCTCTCATTTTCTTGATGTTTGATGAAAAAGAAAAGTGTAGGTTGCACGATTGAAGATGGAGAGAGATGGAGAGAGGGAGAGAGAGGGAGAGAGGGAGAGAGAGGAAGAGAGAGGAAGAGAGAGGGAGAGAGAGTAGCTGCTAAGCAAGAACTACGAGTGCGGCCGATAAATATGTTCGTCACGTGCCTTATCTAAGGACATATCACAGCTAAAAGGTGCACCGAAATTTTCTTATCAGACTCACATGACGAATAAATCTATCGGCCACACTCGTACATACTATGTAGCTACAATAACAAAATTCAGAAAACAAATAATTAGAAACAAACACGCGTCCAATTGTTGTTATTGGTTGTGTTGCCGAGCCTTCTAGGACACGTACCGCTGGGCCATGAAGGTACGGTTACACTTGTCAGTCCTTGGTCGGCTCTCGGTACATTCTCATTTGCTACGCATGTGGGGAGCTTGAGTCAATATCGGCTTTGTGTTTGGAACAGGCGGTAGGTGTTATACCAGCATTTGAGCATTCTCTTGGCTCAGGGAATTGGTGATTACCAAATTAACCATCAGAAGAGCCAGGGGTCACAGGTGCTCACTCGGAATCAACAGCCAGTGGACCCAGTACCTCACACTACTGTACCCTCCTGGTGCTTTATAAGGTCTAACCAGACTCCGCACACCCACATAGGCCTTGTTACACCATTCCGCATTCAGTCACCCGTTCACACAAAACATGTCTTGTGGTGAGAAAAAGATAAATAAAGGTGACCAAAAAAAAACCTTCATTCATGGTACAGAGATTACCTTCACCCTACACCTTATTTAGGCAACCCCCCTCACGATAGCATATGTCGGTCAGGCAGACAGGTGGATGGGTGGGAATAGGCGGCGATCTCGGCCTATCACCCAGTATCACAATTAGCACCTACCCATTGTGGAAGAGGTGTTGCGGTATGAATACATCGTGTAAAGGTAGCGCCTCCATATTGCTCAGATGGTGGGCCAGAATGCGCAGTATAGCCTACTATGAAAGATGGAGGTTCCTGTCAAAGAACAAAGTAAACAAGGAATACAATATAATGAAATACAACAACCGCCCTGACCGTGCCCCGCCCTCTGAAGCTCTTTCACTAATCATTCAATATGCTTCGGTGGCATGCCCCAGAAGGAATGAAGGAAGGGGGGACGGTAGCACCTACCGGGCGAAGATATAAACTGAGGTATGAAGGTTGGGTTGGCGGTAGTGGGCGTGGTCGTGCAGCTGTTATGACCTTTGCAATGGCACTGATCATTAAGGAAGGTGGTCTGCCCGAAGCCTTGGGCAGTGCCGGAGGTAGCGGATGTCCAATGATTCTATATACATATGATTGGCACTGCCATGAATGCACTACTAGAGAGAGAGAGTGCCTGTAATCCAATCAGCAAGCTCGGTAATATATCGACATACAGATAGTCAATCGAGAGGCGAACACATTATCCAACTTGAATCCTTATAGTAAGGGTATTCAAAGTTAAAAACTATAACTGTCAACTTATGTTGACAGTTTTTACAATGATCACATATTGCCCTAAGGATAAATCAACCAATAGAATTGATCAATAGAAACCAGCAGTAAAGATAATTTTGACAATACCTTTTATTACAAGAGTATAAGGTTTACTGTGTACTTCATTAAATTTTAAACATTTTTATTTTATACCACCACCTAAGAAGATTGCTGTACTCACCTACTTCTTTGTCTATTCAAACTTTTATATCAAATGCCTCGGACCAGCCTCAAGCAACAAGTTTCAATTGAAGTTACTGAATTATTCGGAATTTCCCTACTTCTCGATCTCTGCTTTAATGACTCTGAAGACAACAACTAAAAAGATACAAACAATCTAATTCATGCTCTATCTACCTATATTTTAGAGCAGGACTCAGATGATCCGAACAGTGAGCTTCAAGTTCTTGGAGGTGAAGTTCAAGAGTTATGCGAAACACTTTTGATTGCGCTACCAAATATTCGATATTTGGCTCCCAGGATACCTCTTACTCGTGGATTTGGATTTTGGTCAAATGTATGTTTAGTACCATGTTTAGTATATATTGTTTATTGGCATATATGTAGAGGTCAATCAATAGCTAATTTGTACATATTAAAATCAAAACAAAATAGTTTCCAATTATTGCTGAAGACCGATTTCGCTCACTATTTCGTATGAGCCGTACCTCCTTTTATACACTTAATGAAAAAATTAAGTTTGATCCAGTATTCTACAACCAGTCAAAAAATCCACAAGCAGATAGTGCTATGCAGCTTGCAGTCACACTTTATATAGTTGGTCAATTAGGAAATTCTACAATGCGTTTCTGTGAGCAGCTGCAGATTGGTGATAAAACTGCTTACCTTTATCGACATCGAGTAATAACAGCACTTCTGAGACAGCTCCCAAATTATTTAATTTGGCCAAACAGAGGGTCAGAGGATTACCGTTCAATGCGAAGAGAAATAGAGAAAGATACCCAGTTTCCTGGGTGTGTTGGCTTTATCGATGGAACAGACATTGGTTTGATGCATGCACCAAGCTTTCATGGTGAGACATACATGAACAGGAAAAAGGTCTATGCTTTAAATATGCAAGCTGTTTGTAATAACAACTTACGCTTTACCTTTGTTTCAGCAGGATATCCAGCATCAGTTGGAGATCCAGTATCATTTGGAAGTACACCACTCTTCACAACTCCAAGTTCTTTCTTCTCCAAACCAGATGAGTACCTCTTAGGAGACAAGATTTATCGAACAACAAAACGCTGTATTACTCCATACAAAGAACCATTGGCCAGCCGACGTCATGATGGTTATAAACATTATAATTGGATGCATGCACACAGTCGTGTAAAGATTGAGCATGCAATTGGTGTTCTCAAAAACAGGTTTCGATCACTCAAGCAGCTACCAATTTATATTCGTAAAAAGGAAGACCATACTAAGGCTGTTGCTTGGATTATGTGCTGTGTAATGCTCCATAACTTTCTTAATACAGAGAAGGAAGACAGCACTATTTACCAACCAAACATCTTTGTTCCTGAAAATGGGATAGAAATTGATGAAGTTGATGAAGAGATTGGCCTAGAGGCAGAAAGAGCTGCAGGGAATGAGTGGCGGGATCGGATAAGAAGATACTTATATCATAATCAGGATAATTAGGTATGTTTACAGAAATTTCATTGGCAAAAATTAACTTTTATGAAAATAAAGATCAAAGCTTTTCTATACTCAGGCTATTCAGTACTTATTTTTTGTTATTCATCCCTTATCATTTTTCCTTTCCATCCTTCAGTCCTATCATTTTCTCCATCATCAAATTCCACCGATTTTTCTCCAACTCCAATTCCCTCTCTCTTAACTCCATTTTCTTCCTCTCCAACTCAAGCTCTTCCTTACGAATTTCACTCTGCTGAACTAGTTGCTTTTCCAGAAATTCATATTTCTTTTCAGCCATTACTGCAATTGCATCCCCTAAACTTGTCGCGGTACCTTTCTTTCTTCTCTTCCGAGCCT